TACCGCCTTCTTCTATCCAAGATTCCCGCCCCATTTGTATCATTCTTCTCAAAACTTTTGTAAGTTGAATGTGTTGTTGAGTTGGTGTGTCAAGTCTAGTATTTATCTATGAAAAGTGTTAAGTTGTAATTTTTGTTTTTTATATTTATGTTATTAGAAAGGAAGATTTGGCTCTGAAAGTTTGAATAGGTTATTAGACCTAAAGCAATTGTCCCAAGGCTAACTAAGAGGGGGGTGAATTGATAATTTAAAAATCTCTTAAAAATTTTAGAAAATCGATTTTATAATTTTTAAACACAATAAGATTTTATAAAAATAAATTTTTCAACCACAACATTAACTTGCAGAAAATAAAAACAGTAAAAAATAAAGACATAAAAACATAGAAATTTATAGTGGTTCAGTCCAACAAGACCTATGTCTACTCCCTGAAGACTCCCTCTTCAGGTATTGCACTATACCAAATTGACTCTCCTTTTGCTCTCATACCATAGGAAGGCAGTGAAGCCCTTACAATAACCTATCTTCCACCAAATCCTGGTGCGGCAGAGAACCGTCATCCTTTCTCACCCTCCTGGTATAGGCAGAGTATCATCATCATTTCATACCCTCATAGTGTCGGTAGAGTTTCGGCGCTCCTTTGAAAATCTTCTTCCAAGAGTCTTCAAGAAAGTAGGGAAGAACTTTGAAAAACAAGCAAGAGATGCTCACTGTTGGGCAACCTTGTGAATCCCCTCACAATTCCCTCTTAAAAAATCTCTCTCTCCAATCAGAAAAAACTTTCCCAAACACTCTTCAAGCACACTCTCAAAAGAAATTCATAGTAGGAGTTCTTGGACAATCAATTTTAAGAACTCTTATATACGAATGATATAAAAAACCGTCCATAAAATTGAAAATTTCAATTTGATTATCTTGGATCGTACAATATGATCGCACATCATACGCATGATCAGTTCAAAAAATGCTCGTATAATCCTGTACAAATTTATTTTGTACTCTGACAATCGTATGTAGACTGCCATCGTAAAGTACTATCAGCTCAAAATTGAACCAATTTGTCTGGTACGATTATATATGAATGCATTTCATACTATGGTTGGCGTACTATACGATACTAATTTTATACAGTACGATCAATTTAACCAAATCAAGCTTTGTTTGGTATGGAAATGGACGAGTCCATTTTGTACTCTAGACGGCATATGCACGAATCCAATTTCATACAGTACGAATAGTTCAGAAAGTTTACATGTTCGTGTGGACGAACTAGTAAGCACTCATTTTATACTCTAGACATCATTTGTATGAAACTAGGAAAGTACAATACGATCAATTTAAAAAAAAATTTGAGTTCGTTCGGGACGAACTGATATGTGGTCATTTCGTACTCTGGACGTCGTCTGTACGAATGTAACTTTTTACAGTACGAACAGTTCAATCAAAAATTTATAAGGAATGGTTCAATTAATTGCTCTCTGGAGGAACACTCAGGTCAAATTGTCCCGTACGATCCCATAATCGTATAGTACAATTCATTTTTAAAATTCAAATTTTGACTCTCCCCCAGTGTATGTGTGCACAATTACCCAATTACAATCACACTCTCTCAGACTCAAGAAAAATAAGAAAGGTACAAACTTCAAATACAATAAATTCTGATCTAATCTGTCTTGAAATCTTCAGCAGTATGGAGTATGATTTTTCTGAAACATTAGTACACACAAATAACACAATCAAAATTTCCAATATATGTTAGGAGAAACAGTAATCAACAAAATAAGATTTTAGAATCATCAAAATACACATAATATAAAAACATAGTTTTGAAAACTATATTGTAACAAGCCCTTTACGATCCTAATTTTATGTTGCTTCATTTTGGTATCAGAGCCTTAGGTTGTAGGTCAACTGGTCAAGCCTTCCTTTTTACTCTATAAATAAAAAAAATGAAAAACCAAAACACTCAACAAGCCGAAGATCTGAATCAAGATTCAGTAGTTGGTGAAAATTAGCCAACTAATCTAGAAGAGAATATTCCAACATCTAGATAGATCACGACATAAGGGAGCTCTACCGATCCAATCCAAAACGAACTCTACAAAATTCATGAAAAAATAAATTTATGCGCTGAAAGATATGAGAAGAGAAAGAGTCAACTTCAAGCCCAATTAACAAAGAAAAAGAAATGATTCAAAGAAAGTATGAGGCTTTAATACAGAAGTTAGATATGGCTCAGTCTACGCATGATGGAAGTTCGAAATCTATCTCATTAGGGGATGAGATTTCTCCACCTAGTGAGAATTGATGCAATCAAGATAACCTACTTTATATTTTCTTGTGTGACCAAACATTTTTCTTGATGTTTGCTTAATTTCCCTTCTACTTGCTAAAAATTCCTGTTGTTTTTCTGAAAATTCCTGTTGTCTTCTCATTTTTGGTTGTTGTTTGGTCTTCCCAATATGGTTGTTTGGTCTTCCCCATGTTTGACTTCGATTTTCCCTCCTGGCTCTTCGTTTTCCCCTATTCCCCTTTGATTTACTTGATGTCTTTATTGATAGCTACTCGTTTTCCCTCCTATGGCTGCTCGGTTTCCCCATTTGTTAAAATCTATGTCTGATGCTTTAATTCCATATTAATTGGACTGAATTGGAAGAGTTTTGTGGCTAGTTTGGAAGGCTTCTATTGGCTATTTGGATGGCAAATTTATGTGAGCATTTAATATCCTTTTCCCTTCTTTTTCTATAGAAGGTGGTTGATTTCTTTATGAAAAGAAAGATGAGATATGTAATGATTTTTGGAACAAAACCTAAAGGTTTTTATAGCTTGCGAGCTATTGTCTTCTAACCCTCTATCTCCTAAAAATTCGTCTCGGACTTCTACCTCCTTTTATCCACGGTTCTCGCCCCATTTGTATCATTCTTCTCAAAACTTTTGTAAGTTGAAAGTGTAGTTGAGTCGGTGTGTCAAGCCTAGTATTTATCTATGAAAAGTGTCTTTAAGTTGTAATTTTTGTTTTTTATGTTTATGTTATAAGAAAGAAAGATTTGGCTCTTTGCAATCCTAATTTTAGGTTGCATCAAAGTCCTAGGCTAACAAATGGGGAGTGCACATTTCTATGCATAGTAAACCTATGACTACATTATCTACCTTAGGATGTTGACCCTTAAGTTATATGTATATTCATAAGAGATGTAAAATGAGTGAGAATGATATAGACTAAAGCAGCATAGTGCCCAGGGCTTCTTTCTATACCCAACATCATCTATCAAGGCTGCAGGTTAAGTGAGTTATATAATATACACTCGTTGTTGTCTTAGCTTGTGAGTTGAGTGTGCACTAGCTTTTATAAGCATTAATCTACTTAGTGTGAAGGTATTATGGGGTTGATGTTAGATATTCAACTTAATATCAAGCAATGAAAACATAAGTATAAGGGTACCAATTTTCTAGTTCTATTTTGTTTTTTATGTTTCCTATCTAGAAAATCTTTATAAAAAAACATTAAAAGCAATATGCCAATTATGATCATGTATGCATGGGTATGCTAATGCACTATAAAGAAGTCAAACAAATGACAAATAATTCCTAGCCTCATTTCCAAGTTAATTTAATTACCATAACTTAATACATACACCACAAAAAATCAATACATGAAACATGTAGTATAATTAAGATTGGTTGTAATGTCACATATTAAGTGAAGAGTTTATTATAAAGCCTAAGATTTCAAATCATGTGTCAAATTATAAATGAGATTCAAGTTTAAATACAAATCAAGTAATTATTAATTGAAAGAGGCAGAATGAAAACTTGAATTCTTCAATAAACAACAAGCAAAATTTTCCTCTTCAAACTATAAACGTATAAGTATAAAATGTATTTCTAAATGGGATTTATTCACAAAATTGAATGGCTAAAGAAGTTGTGAGTTTTTGTAAAGATTAGATTTGAGTATTTTGCAACTATATTTAATTGAAAAATAGCAATTAAATGCATACATGTAAGATGATTGATTGATTGTAAACAAAATTGCTTGTTGTCCCCAAGATAGATGGCTACTTACAAAAGTTATACTCATATTCATATAGAATTACTTAATTAGTTGGGAATGAAATGACCAGAAAATAGTTTAGAGATGCCAAAGAGATTGATTTTATCCTATCGTTAACACCACTCTCAATTCAATAAACGAAATGTACTAGCTGTATTTATATATATATGCACAGGTAAGTATTTTGTATATTCACACGTATGAACAGATAAGATCCTTTGTTAATCACATTAAAAAAATTAAAATAAGATAAAGTAAATTACTATGTTATTCGATAGAGTTAAACTTTTAACATAAATTTCAAAATGAGTGGAACTTGTTCTATTTCATCAATTCAGCTCACTACAAAAGAAGACAAATATGTATATAACTGAAGGATTTTAAATTATCATTCCAAAAAACTAATGCACAGCTCTTGGATATTAAGGTTAAGCCAGCAGTGTAATGCCTCTATCCCTAATAAATAATAAATAAGTACTATGATTCAACAGTAGGTAATGAGAGTTGTGTTATGCAGCATTTCCATTTGATTAGTAAAAAAGACAGAATACACGCAGCATTTAAAGTAATAATAGAGGTTTGAGGAGTACGTGATTGTTTAAAAGTTGCCTTGCTTCACCCAGCATTTTTCAAATGGGTTTGATGGCTTTGAAATAAATAAGCAGATATATACATTTACAGTTAGCAAAAGAGACATTTCCCTTATCTATGGGCATCGACGTTAAGTTACTCATTTGTATTAGTATATGATTAATAAATATACATCCTAATTATGCTAAATACTACTCTCATTTTTTTATTACCATTGAGAATAAGTAGGAAAAAAAGAAAGAAGGAAAATACATCGATTTTGTAAAGGAAAAAAAAAAGATTCATGGATAATTAATTCATTTGGTAAAGCACGTGCAATGTTTAGCATTTGTGAAGCTCATGCGGGAATACTTACGCTCTAGGAAGATATGACAGCAACCGCGATTCCAGCAAAATAAAAGCACTTGAAGGTAGAGAGAAAAATGCTCTAAACTTGCTCTCTCATTTATTGTTAGCTAGGGATGGACGACCGAACCAACCTAGGTTCCCGCTTCCCTTGCTCTGTCAGCATCACTCTTGGCGGATGCAAAAACAAATCTGCAGAAGGGAGCAACCCTCTCACTATTCTATCTCTCTCAAAGCCTTTCTCTCGATCGGTCTCTCGTTTCTTCCTTCAGACAAAGACGATCGAACGAAAATGTAAGGGAAGAAGCCCCCAGCCCTCACTCGATTATCTCTTGTTTCAGGCAGCCCGCTCTTTCCTCCACTCGATTGAAACTCAAGAATAGAAGAAAACACACACAAGATGTCCGTCTACCCTTCCTCGCTCTCTAGACCGTATAGAACGCACACGCTCGCCTTCGTCTTTCTCCTGTTCACTGGAATAGAGACGCAAGCAAGAGAACTTTCCTTCTCGTCTCTCGCTCTCTCTTCCTTACATCCAGAGGGAATCAAAAAAGTGAAAAAAAAAAAAACTCTAAGGGGGTGTTTGGTATCGGATTTATTTCGATTTTTAAGCAGGATTTACGGTAAATCCAGCCAAACGCAAAAAAAGTCGCGGTAAATCCGGCAAATCCGTAAATCCTGGATTTGCGGCGTAAATCCGCTAAATCCCGGTAAATCCTAATCCCACTAGAAGTCGGATTTACGGGATTTGGCCGAAGAAGCGCGCGAAAGGGAGAAAGTTACCTTCACAGCAAGCGAGCCCCGTTGTTGCTTCCGATCAAAAAATGTCGTAACTTCCGCTCCAACAGGAAGGGAAGGTCGTCGAAGGAGCGAAGTCGAACAGCGACGAAGTAGAACTCGCGCAAAACTCTGCAGGAGGGAACGAAGCCGAAAGAAATAGAGAGGGAAAGGCAAAACCTAAACTCTCTTGTTGGATCACTTAATTAATATAATTTAGATATTAATAATTAAGTAAAACTAATTAATTATTAATTAAATTATTAATAAAATATTAGTTAAATACTTAGTTATTTCAAAATAATTAATAAGATTAAATATGATTTTAAATGAAAATAATTATTATAAATAATAATTAATCGTCTTAAATCCTTGAACCACTTTAAATGCGTTAATTATTCAATAAATGCATGTCAAATCCTTTAACCGATTTAACGGATTTAAATCCTGAATTGAATAGTCAAATAGTCACATAGGATTTATCATAAATGTTGTCAACAATTTTCAGGATTTAACCTCCTCAGAATTTCGTATGTCCGGATTTAGAGGATTTAATGAAATCATGTGTGCTACCAATGAGCCCCTATGTATGTAAATGCAATAAAATGCCAATTAGAGGAAATATCCAATCTTTATGTGGAAGCCGCCAGTCAAGAGAGAATATGATGTTATGTTTGGTTAATTATTTTGCATATTACTCCTTTTATTTTAAAATCTCCAACCATTTTAAATCCTGTAATATGTTGCCAAACATCTTTTTGGATTTAACAGGATTTAAATTTTTTTATACCAAACACAATTCAGGATTTATGAGCATAGGATTTACTAAATCCGGATTTACTTGATTTAGTAAATCCTACTAAAATTGAATCCAATCTTATACCAAACACCCCCTAAGGGGCTATTTGGTATTGGATTTACAGCGGGATTTAAGTCGTATTTACGCTAAATCCAGCCAAACAGTTTTTGTATATTATAACATAAATTTTCTTGCAGCAACGATAATTTGTGTTTTTATTTACTTTGCTCTCTTATTTTCCTGTATTTATTTATATGAAATGTTCTTCATTTAAAATAATTGAGCCGTGCAATTATATTTATACAATGGTTAGGGTTAATTAATTCAAGATGAAGCCATTTGAAGTACCATGCGGTAAATATTACTTGGTTGATTTTGGATATGCTAATACAAATAAATTGATTGCACCTTTTCGAGGTTATCGATATCACTTGGCTAATTACCATGGATGTGCTTCTTGTCGATACAATGTTGAGCAAGAGTTATTTAATCATAGGCACGCACAATTACGCAATGTGGTTGAGCGAACTTTTGGGATATGGAAGGAACGTTTTCAAGTTTTGACCCGAATGCGACAGTTTCCGGTGAATGTTCAAGCAGATATAGTTATAGCTTGTGCTGTTCTACACAACTTCATCGGCCGATATCACGGACATGGCCTGTACTTTAACATGTGACAGACATAAATGCAGCATGACGATCGGCGTGATTATTCATTAAATATACATTCATATCCCTATATTTCTTATTTCTCTTCATATTTCCCTCTTTATATTCCCTACAATTTTTATTCATCTTCATAAAAGGGAAAATTACCATACATTTAAATGAATAAATGAAGTTAATAAAAATATTAATTAAATATATAAATAAAATATTTATCCAGATCTGTTGATTAATAATTTAATATTACTCTAATAGTAAACCTGTAGCCTCAATTTCTATGAATTCGCAATTCACTGTCACATTCTTTTCATCAATTCTTCCATGTCAATGATTTCCTTAACAAGAAAATGCCCATCATTGCATGATTTGCAAAACTTTCTTAAAAAGAAAACTAGGTGATGCCCTCTTTTAATGTTTAACATGTTGATTATTTAGCCAGGTAATCAATGAATAATAATTAATATGAAGGGATATTTAATGAATAATAATTAAGATCATGATAAAATTGAAAAAGAAGAGTATGAGATACGAAGAGAAAAATACGAAGGGATATTCAATAAATGTGAATGAAGACTAAAAAATATTAAGGAATTCGATCAAAGTATATTTATTTTTTTTTATTTGCTTAAATAAAAAGTAATTATATTTAATTATTTTAAAATAAATAATTAATTATAATAAGATAATAAAATCAAAGGCTATGATCCTATTTTAATTACTAAAATGAAAGGCTAGGATTATTGGTGAAGAAATTCAAGTGGCTTTTATAATAGTAGATATAGATTGTTAAAGTTGAATTTTTAGAGATGAAGAGTAAGTTATTTTTTATAATAAATTTGATAGTAAATTGTGCAAATGTAACATATGAATTAACATAATAATTTTAAATAATTTAATATCGCAATTAGTTTTTAATTGAAAGTAAATTATTTACATTAATAATTGTAAACGTGTAGGCCCCTTTACGTGTCAATAGATATACTTTATTGACACATATAGATATAATTTAAGTTATTTTATTAATGCAACTAATATTATTATTTGCTTATTTTACATGTTATATTATGCCCCAAATTGAATGTGAAGGGCATTATCAATGGTAATTGTTCAGGTTGTGGTGGTATTCTCAGAGATAATCTTGGTAATACTATAATTGCTTTTGCTGGTCCCTTACCTTTGCGGGATAAGACTTTTGTTGAGATTTCTGCTATTCTTAATGGTATTAAACTTTGTATATCTTTGGACATTATTACTTTCAGCATTGAGGTTGATTCCTCTTACATTATTCAATGTTTTAACTGTATGGATGAGTCTGTTTGTAATGAAAATCTTTTCTATTTTATGAGGATTATTAACCAGTTAATGGTTTTAAATGATGTATCTTTCTCTCATGTCTGTTGGAAAGGGAATTCCTATTTGGTTTGGTTGGCTAATTGGGGTTGCAATTTGGCTTAGTTTACAGATTATTATGTTAATAACATTCCTGTGCAGTTAAAAGGGATTTTTTTTAGGATGGAATTGGTTGTCCATATATTAGAACTTAGTAGTTTGGTTTCTTGTTGTGGTTTTGGGTATGTTTTCCTTCCTCCTATTGTTGTTGGTAGTATGCTGGTTTCTAACACTTGTACTTTTGGCTTGTTTAATTCATCTTCTGGATGTTTTGATGGTTGCCTATGTGTCTTGCATTACTTTCTATTTGGTAGCACTTTGTTTAAGCACTGCTTGATATTCCTCAGGGATTTTCAAGAGGTTCTCTGTATGAACATATTAATTATTTTCTATTCTAGTTTGGTGTTGCTCGTAGGTTGCTGATTGATCTGAATTTAAGAGCCAGCCATTTTGATTTCTTGTTTGCCTTTTGGTTATGTTCTATGAGTTTCCTATTGGATTATGATATTGCAGGCACTTTGCTTCTTTGGTTTGGTCAGTTTCTAGGTGTTGGGAGTTACGTCCAGTATGTTTTGATATTTTGGCTTATCATTTTCACTATTGGTTTGGTGGGTTGGATCTGAGAGGTCAAATTGAGAGCTGTTTACTTTCTTCTGGTTGTCTTCTATTCCTGGACGATCTTATTGTTAGCTGGCGGCTCTTCTTCTAGATTGCTGGGATTTGGTTCTGGGCTATTTGTTTTTGTCTCTGGTGGAGATTAATTTATGTCATTTGTAAACTATGATATGGGGTTGATCATCCTGTTTGGGATGGCTTGTTTTGTTGTTTATGGACTTGGCTATGGTATTTGGGTCTTTTGGGTTGTTCTATCCGGTTTGTGTTTTATTCTACTAGGGCTTACTAGATTGACTCAATGTTTGGTTCTTACTAGATTGGGATTACCCTCTGCTACTTGATGGAATTTTGGATTAATATTGCTATAATCACTTGTGCTATCTTCCTTCAGTTATTTCCCTTTTTTTTGCCACTGCTATTATATGCTTTATCCTATTTTGCAGAATCACTCTTTTGTAGGTATTGGTATCTATTTGACTCTAGATGGGAAGCTGGTTCAGGTTGTTGTTTTTTGCTTTAATTATCTTTTTTAAGTGTTTAGCTTCACCCTTAGGGTGTTTTGTACTTTTCTCTAGTAGGGACATCAAGCTCTTAGTTTTTTTCTTGGCTTTTTTCTTGTAGCTCTATTGAGTAGTAACGAGCTTGAGATCCCTTTAAAGTCCATGTATTATTATTTTTGGATGAACACGTAGGATCCACCGTGGCTTCTTATTAAAAAAAATCATCCAATATGATTTTGGATCATCCTGCATGGTATGATAAAAATAGAAAAACACTTAAATCTATAAAATTTCTCCCCTTGAGTGTGTGTGTGTGCAAGGTTACTTAGCAAGAAGATCCACAATATTACGATTGACTCAAGAAAAGACAAAAATATAGAATTTCACTTATAGACTAACACAGTCCTAATCTACCTAATCTTGAGCTGGCTTGATTTGCAATTGACTTTGTGGACTTGAAACATTAGTAGGCAGGGTAATAGTATAGAAATAGAAATGCCAAAAATGCTTGCTATCATCAAAATTATAATCCTTGAATTCATGTTTGCAATAGGTTCTTCCAGCATACTTGGAATATCATTTGCAATGATATTTTTTGGTTGTGTTGGATTTCTTTGAGGAGAATAATATTCCCAATTTTTTACCTTTACTTCTTTGGTCCTTATTCCTAAAACCACCGTTGTTTCCATCTGGAATAATTTGAGAACTATTAGTCTTTTTTCTTTTTTCAGCAATCTGATTTCTAAAATTTTCATGAGTAGGTTAAATTCCATTTTACCTAAATTTATTTCCCCTTTCCAAATGGGTTTTTTAAAGGTTGGGCTATT